ACCTAAAATTTCTGAAAATTATTTAAAATACTCATTGACTTTTTCACAATTCTTTACATTTCTTTTAAGTTATAGAATAAATTTTAAACATTTTATATTGCTTTGAGCTACAATAATGTTTTTTAGCATGTATTAATTGAATATATGTAAATAAAAATGTTTATGCAATTTTATTTCTTTTATCTTCAATTTATCAAGTTTAATGTAAGTTATGCATTTACTCATAGGTAATTTATGAATGAAAGTATCTTATGAATTAATAGTAGTAAATATTTATTACTTTACTTATTAATTTCAAAAATAACCTGCAATTCATATTATTGTTAACATATAATATTATTTAATAAAATATAATTATTAATAAAATATAAACTTAGACACTTTTATCAAAGAGGAAAGTAATAAAAATAATAGCAATAGTAAAATGATAATAGACAAATGGGCTGTTTTTTGTCAAAAATAAAGAACACTTACAGGAGAAAATGAGAAAATTAAATTTTCATAAAAATAAAATGGCTTTGTTAAAAAATCCATGGATATCTTTAAAAATTTGATAAAAATAAAACGACAAATCTTTGTTTAAAAAGCCATGATGGATAAAAAAATAATTCTAATCTAGATTGGAGCTCTAATTTTTTATTAGAATCATTGAAAAGAATGTAAAAAACAATGTAAAAGGAAAGTATTAAATATAATACTAATATTGAAATGATAGAATTAGAAAGATTTAAGAATAATTTTAATTTATAAAAATGAATAAAATGTTTTCTATATTTGAATTAATTGAATTGAATTAATATTCATTTACTATTTAAATCATATTCACAAGACTTCCTAGCACAAGCAATAATAACATTAACAAATTTGACTTAAGTCGTCGTTATCTATTAAAGACTTGAATTGTGAAGACAAACTAGAAGGAAAGTTTTCCATTTTAAACAGAATTGTTGATCGATCACTATCATCAGCATTAATTTTTTGAATTGGTAATAATTAATTAATAAGTAATTAATTTTATTATATAAATATAGATACAATGCCACTATTTTATTAGATAAAATGTTAACTAATATAAATAATTATATAACAAATTATTTAAATTTAGATAGTTTAAACTATTTGTTTTTAAATTTAGTGATACCTGGTGCTATTCAAAATTATCTCCACTCCCTCCCCCACCAAACATCACGTATATTTTTAGTTAGAAGAAAAAATTATAATTTATTAAATTTTTTTTAAATGTTTGGATTTAAAAAAAATCAGCTAAAAAATACACGTTTGATATTACTAGACCCCTGCCACCCCCACGTGATATTTCGAGATTTTTGTTTTAACCCTCCCCCAGCCCCCTAAAAACCTCACGTGATTAAGGGTCGCCACTTTACTCTTCGCATCATTTTTTATAAAATTACAAATATATTTACGAGGTCTGTTCAAAAAGTACCCGGAATTACTAATAATTAAATTTCGCGGTCTGGAGTGTCTGATTGTCAAAATTTTTTTTTATTGTGTTGGTATACATGCCCCTAAAGTATGATGAAATTTTCAGCTATATTCACTGTTTACTTTGTCTGTGGTAGTCGCTAAGGTTCGACGTGTTTTTCTGAGCTCGGCGATTTTCACAATGGAAGAATTGAAAAGTCAAAGAATTTGTATTAAATTTTGCGTAAAAAATGAAATAAAGTGTTGCAAAGTGCAAAAATTCACCAGATATGGCTCCGTGTGACTTTTTCCTATTCCCAAATTTGAAGAGACCCATGAAAGGACGGCGGTTTTCCTCGATTGAAGAAAATCGCTGAGAGTGCTCAAGGACATAGCAAAAAGTGAATATCAAGGGTGCTTCGAAAATTGGAAAAAACGCTGGCATAAGTCCACATTAATGTAGACGAATAAATAAATATTTTTTTGAAAAAACGAAAATTCCGGGTACTTTTTGAACAGACCTCGTACATTTATTATTAGAAAATATCAATTAATTACCGTTATTATTAACAAATGATGTGATTTAATAATAAAATATAAATAAAAATAATAAAATTATGCATTTTAGTTATAAAAAATAAATATTTACTCTTTGTAACATGTATTATAAAATTCCAAATATATTTGGAACATTTATTATTATTATTACAAAGTATCAATTAATTACTGTTGTTATTGCCATAAAATATTATTTATAGATAAAATATAAATAAAAATAATAAAAATTAATAATTTTGTAATAAAAAAATTTAAAAAAAATAATTTGTCAGAAGTGGGATTCGAACCCACGCCCACAGAAGTGGACTGCGACCTGAACGCAGCGCCTTAGACCACTCGGCCATCCTGACATACGAGCTTTAGCGATATATTGTGAATTATATAATGTGAACTACTATCGACTATGAGATACATATAATTTATTATTAATATTTATAAATATTTTTATTAATAAAATAATAAACCAGCGGTAATAAATAATAATTAAAAAAAAAATACTCAATTTTTATTAGAACTTTGAAAAATAAAAATCGATTTTTAGTTTTTTTTTAACCCTTTCCACTCGCTAATTCCTAAATTAATATGAATTTTACGCCGGAGCGGCGATATGTAGTGGAAGGGGTTAAAATATTTGGAAAAAATTTACCTTTTTAAAAAATTTGATTTATCCTATACTTTGAAATATTTTGGGAGTTCTCTCAAAAACTGCTATTTTTTGCACATTTAGCTCCGTACCTCCGAAACGGCTAGACCTGCCTTTGCCAAAAACTAATCACCACTTTTCCCTATCATTACAAATTGAATGTTTTTTGGATCATTCAAATCGGATGCTCCATTCTCTCAAAAACTCGATTTCTATTTACTGCTTTCTTTGCTCCGTACCTCCGAAACGGCTGTACCTGCTTTGTCCAAAAACTAATCAGCACGTCTTCCTATTAATAGGAATCGAATGTTTTTTGAATCATTCAAATCGGTTGAAACATGTTCCCAAAATAGTCGACGAAAATTTATATCCGTATACCAGCACACGCACATATACATCAATTTATTCTAATATTTGCAAAAATGTTCAGAAAGTTTTGAAACGTAAATTTGGATATATACAAATTCTTATTTTCGATTTTTTTGCGATTACTATAACTTAGTTTTCGTCCACGATTTCGGTCGCACGGGATCTTTGATAGAGAGATGTGCTAATTAGTTTTTGGCAAAGGCAGGTCCAGCTATTTCGGAGATACGGAGCAAAGAGTGCAGAAAATAAAAATCGAGTTTTTGAGAGAACGGAGCATCCGATTTGAATAATCCAAAAAAATATTCAATTCGTAATGATGACGAGAAGTGGAGATTAGTTTTTGGCAAAGGCAGGTCCAGCCGTTTCGTTGATACAGAGCAAAGAAAACAGAAAATAGAAATAGCAGTTTTTAAAGAACTAATCGTCCGATTTTCATGATCCAAAAAATATTCAATTGGTAATAATGACGAGAAGTGGGGATTAGTTTTTGGCAAAGACAGGTCCAGTCGTTTCGGAGATACGGAGCTAAATATGCAAAAAATAGCAGTTTTTGAGAGAATTAAGCATCCGATTAGAATGATTTTTGAAACGACTTGACCTGTCTTTGCTAAAAACTAATCGCCATGGTGCACACTTATCCCCATCATTATGAATAGAATATTTATTGAATTATTCAAATCGGACGCTCCGTTTTCTCAAAAACTGAATTACCATTTTTTGCACTTTTTGTCCCGTATCTTCGAAATGGCTGGACTTGCCTTAGACAAAAACTAATCAACACTTCTCCTTATCAATACAAATCGAATGTTTTTTGAATTATTTAAATCGGTTCATCCGTGTTCTCGAAATCGTCGACGAAAATATTGTATCCGCACACACACATACATTGATTTTTTCTAAGGTAATGCCAAAATGTTCAGAAACCTCTGAAACGTAAAGATATATAAAATTTTTCATTTTCGATTTTCATCATTAAATCGTGATTTAATTATTATTAACGGCATTAATTAATGCATAAAGAATAACGAATTTATTTTTAAAACAAAATTTTTTCAAAATTAGAAATATTTTTATGTTGGTGACGCTGAAATGTTGTGCAGCTGTCAAACAGACTAATGAATGACTATGAAATAAACAAAACATATTTATTTAGTTATTTAATTATTACACAAAGTTATAGATTAAAAGTAATAATAAATATATTATAAATTAATAAATTTAAATATAAATAGTAGTGTACGAGTGCAGTGATAAATTGATAAACATAAAATACATGTAGGTTAGATCACAGGGGTAATTTTTATTAAATTTAATTTATACAAAATGAACTATAAATATTTAATTTCTGATAAAAGTATGCAAGGAATAAATAGAACTGAATTCTAACTTTTATATAAAAGATTATAACAAGAAGTTGTGTCAATTTCCCTATCTGTCAAATATAAAGTGTCTTGAAGAAAAAATCATTTTGTTTCCATAAATTGTGCAAATTAGACTTCTTCCAACTTAAGGTAAAATTACAGAACAAGTTTATTGTAAATTAGATTCTACAACAAAAGTTTCATGAGAAATAAATTTAAACATTCGTGATGACAGGAGGAGCAAAATGATAGGATAAAAGTACTTTCTATAGTGCAACTATCTTAAAATGTCAGAAGCAACAACTGCCTTCACCAGTGTTCCGGAAATAAAAATTGAACCCCCAGAATTTCTATTCGAAGACATTAAATGGGAAATAGAGGAAGAGCCTGAATCTTGTTCAAAAGATGAAGAAACATGCCTTGAAGAAGACAAACAAAAAGTAAATCAGACTGCTCGTTATAAGTGTGAGGTGTGCAATAGATCATTTACAAAGCGAAATAATTTTAAAAAACATCAAGCAGTTCATAAAAGTGAATGTATATATTGTTCAACAACCTTTTTAGATGCAAATGCACTGAAAATACATCTGAAAACTCATACAGATGAAAAACCTTTTGTATGCACAATATGCAATATAGGATTCACTATGAAAAATCATTTAGATCAACACGTTTGTGCTCAAGCCGAGGAACAAACTTTAAACTTCAATGATAATGCAGAAACAAATATTTGTGCAGAAACCCCTTATAAATGCCAAGTATGTGATAAACATTCATGCATTCACGTAGCTTAAAACAACACATGCTCATTCACAGTGAGGATTCCCCCAATAAATGTAAAGTATGTGATAAAATTCTCACAATCCAGGAACCTGCAACAACATATGCTCATTCACAGTGGTGAACGACAATACAAATGCATAATCTGTAACCAGACATTCACCCGAATGAGCAGCTTAAAAAAACATATGCCAATTCACAGCGGTGTACGCGCCCATAATTGGAAATATGCAATCAGACATTCACACATTTATATTGTTTAAAAAGGCACATGCTCGTCCACGGTGGGGAAAGCTCCTATAAATGTGAAACATGTGATAAGACATTCAAACATTCCTGTAGCTTGAAAAAACATATGCTCATTCACACTAGAGATCGTCCCCATAAATGTGAAACATGTTATGAGACATTCACACAACAAATACAACTGAAAAGACATATGCTCGTTCATAGTGGGAAAGAGATCCATACTTGTGAAATTTGCAATGAGACTTTTGCTCATTATTCTAGCATGAAACGACATATGCTCGTTCACAGTGGGGAAGACTCCCATAAATGTGATGTATGTGATAAGACTTTTACACGAGCCAATAATCTGAAAAAGCACATGGACACTCATACAGGAGAGTAATAACAAATATAAAATATGCAATAAAGGATTTGCACAATTGGTCACGTAAAGACACATAGCTGTTCTTTATTGCAGCTTGAAAAAACATAGGCTCATTCACACTAGAGACCGTCCCCATAAATGTGAAACATGTTATGAGACATTCACACAACATATTCACTTGAAAAGGCATATGCTCGTTCACAGTGGAAAAGAGATCCATACTTGTGAAATTTGCAATGAGACTTTTGCTCATTATTCTAGCATGAAACGTCATATGCTTGTTCACAGTGGGGAAGACTCCCATAAATGTGATGTATATAATAAGACTTTTACACGAGCCAATAATCTGAAAAAGCACATGGACACTCATACAGGAGAGTAATAACAAACATTAAAGATGCAATAAAGGATTTGCACAATCGGTCATGTAAAGACACATAGCTGTTCTTTATTGCAGCTTGAAAAAACATAGGCTCATTCACACTAGAGATCGTCCCCATAAATGTGAAACGTGTTATGAGACATTCACACAACATATTCACCTGAAAAGACATATGGTCGTTCACAGTGGGAAAGAAATCCATACTTGTGAAATTTGCAATGAGACTTTTGCTCATTATTCTAGCATGAAACGACATATTCTCGTACACAGTGGGGAAGACTCCCATAAATGTGATGTATGTGATAAGACTTTTACACGAGCCAATAATCTGAAAAAGCACATGGACACTCATACAGGGGAGTAATAACAAATATTAAATATGCAATAATGGTCACTGAAAGAGACCTTGCATAAAGGTTCATCTTATTGAGAGACATTAATTTTGTACAACAAAATAAAGAATTAAATTATATATATATATATATATATATATAAATTTTATAAAAATAAATAGACAGTATTATTAACTACTCATGTAAATATTGCATTTTAATAATGTTTTATATTGTAAATATCATATTGTAGTAATGTGGTGGATCCACATGTAAATTTTTTATCAAAGGCTAGATATTTTATTAATTTTTCAAATTATTTCATTAATAAATTATATTAATATATAAAATTTAATATTGTTTTCAAAATCAAAAACTAAATTCATGTACATTATTTAATATTATATTATATAGATTTATAAATAATGTTATATGGATTTTAAATTAACTTCTAAAAACTTTTATATTATTTTTTATTGATGTAATGCCCAATTTTTATACTCAAGATATTTGTAGAGCTTCGAGCAAAGAATCCAAAAAATAATAAAAACAAAACAGTTTTTTAAAAAACCATAACAAACTGTTTGTTACCAATAGTCATCGCATAACATCGAGGGAATAATACTTTTTGTCCCACGTAACAAACTCAAAAAAGACATAATTCAAAGAAATTTTGAACTGCAAAGTTTGTTTCTTCACCTGAAAAGAAATTTATAAAATCACTTTTTTTGATAAAATCTTTCTTACTGAAAAAGAGTTAGTGCATAATCGATCATACAGGTAATTAATTCAGTAAACTTTTCTAAAACTCCCTAATTTTTTAACATTTATAATATTTTGTTATATAATCTACTCATTTATTTTTATCATTTTCATGTTGATTATATTGTCATATTTCTGTACATTACTTTTTCCACAATTTTATTCATTTTATATAAAAAATCCACCATCTTCTGCTTTTCTTAAATATATTGTTTGCATAAATCTTATCAAGATCATGTTTCTTGACAAATGTCCTGAAGATGGGACGTACCTAGTTCTGAAACGTCGACAGTAAATAAAGAAATGTTTTTTTTTATAAAATTTTGTTTTTTATTACTGTTTGGATTCTTTGTTTGAAGCTCTACAAAGTATTTACAAATCGCTTAGGCACATATGATTTCCGCATTCGAAGTAAGATACTTTGCTAAAGAAAACATACCTCTAAAATGAATTCTGAGGTCCCGTGCATTGGTCCCAAAATAAGGGTTCTATTTCCTCCCTTTAGCCAGCATCAGGCAACAGCAATGCCCATTTTCACTTGAAAATATAGATCAAAAATATGCTTCCAATTGAAAATAGCCCATTTTGGGCACTGCGATGTAGAATGGCAATGGGAAATCTCTCACAATATTCTTCTCTGAATCATGTTGCAGTTTAACACAGCTCACAAGTACTACATGGTATGTATTATATATAAATATATATCTGTATACATTAAACAAGTTTTTTCAGATTGCATTGTATCACGTCTGCTTATTGTGACGAGTTTTTGGTGTCCTTTTATGTCATACTAAGCAGATTCTACAATATTTTAGCACTGAAATTATTAACAACATTTAACATACTAATGGAAGTATCATATGTATTATATTAATTTGATCCTTGGATTAAGACAGCATACTCACTCAAGTTTTTAATTGTTGTTATGATTTATTAAACCTATAGAAGATATAAGGCATTGCTAATGAAATTTCACATAGATCATTAATAACATTGTTTATTTATATTTATAATATATACAAATTGCATAAACATTTAACATAAACCTCTCATTTTGTTTAATATTTGTGTTGATCCCTTATTATATAAGATTGTTCGGAAAATCACTTTGCTTTTTTTACCACAAAGATTTTTTTATTTATCTATTAAATTTAACTATATATTTTTGAATCTAACATCAAACTTAAGCCCTATAATTATTAAATGATTTGAATATATTTTATGGCTTGTATGTAAAAAAATCTGATTTAGTATATTTATAATTACTTTCTGGTATGGACAAGCATGTGCCTTTTCAAAGTATTTATTTGTGTAAAACTCTTATCACATATTTCACAACAATGAGGACGATCTCCAATGTGAATTAGCATACGTCTTTTCAAGCTACTTACACTTGTGAATGTATTATAGCATATTTTATATTACTTGTGTTTATCCCTTATTATAGCATAATTCATAATTAATATATTTATTATTTCTTTCTAGTATGGACAAGCATATGCCTTTTCAAAGTATTTATTTGTGTAAAACTCTTATCACATATTTCACAACAATGAGGACGATCTCCAGTGTGAATTAGCATACGTCTTTTCAAGCTACTTACTCTTGTGAATGTATTATAGCATATTTTACATTACTTGTGTTTATCTCTTATTATAGCATAATTCATAATTAATATATTTATTATTTCTTTCTAGTGTGGACAAGCATGTGCCTCTTCAAAGTATTTATTTGTGTGAAACTCTTATTGCATATTTTTCACAATGAGGACGATCTCCAGTGTGAATTAGCATACGTCTCTTCAAGTTACTTACTCTTGTGAATGCATTATAGCATATTTTACATTACTTGGGTTAATCCCTTATTATAGTAATCCATAATAATTAATATATTTATTATTGCTTTCTAGTATGGACAAGCATGTGCCTTTCAAAGTATTTACTTTGTGTAAACTCTTATTGCATATTTCACAACAATGAGGACGATCTCCAATGTGAATTAACATATGTCTTTTCAACTGACTTGCTCTTGTGAATGTATTATAGCATATTTTACATTACTTGTGTTTATCCCTTATTATAGTATAATTCATAATAATTAATATATTTATTATTGCTTTCTAGTATGGACAAGCATGTGCCTTTTCAAAGTATTTACTTGTGTGAAACTCTTATTGCATATTTCACAACAATGAGGACGAACTCCATTGTGAATAAGCATATGCCTTTTCAAGTGACTTGCTCTGTGAATGTATTATAGCATATTTTACATTACTTGTGTTTATCCCTTATTATAGTATATTCATAATAATAATATATTTATTATTGCTTTCTAGTATGGACAGCATGTGCCTTTTCAAAGTATTTACTTGTGTGAAACTCTTATTGCATATTTCACAACAATGAGGACGATGTCCAGTATGAATAAGCATATGCCTTTTCAGGTGACTCGCTCTTGTGAATGCATTAAAGCAAATTTTACACTTATGAGGGCAATCCCCCCTGTGAATAAGCATATGTTCTTTCAAGGTATTCAATTCCTTAAATGCCTTATCACATAATCACATTTAAAAGAACGTTCTTCATTGTGAACGAGCATATGTTTTTTTAAAGTATCCAATCGCGTGAATTTCTTATTGCATATTACACAATATGAGGGCGCTCCCCACTGTGAATTTGCATATGTGTTTTTAAGCTACTCGATTGTGTGAATCTTTGATTACAAAGTTTTGCAAATATGGGGCGATCTCCACTGTGAGCGAGTGTATGTTTTTTCAAGCTTCTCGAATGAATGAATGTTTTATCACATATGTTACATTTGTAGGAGCGTTTTTGACTGTGGACGTTCATATGATCTTTCATGTTACTCAATATGTGAATGTCTTATGGCATTTTTCACATTTATATGGGCGCTCCCCATTGTGAACGCGCATGTGTTGTTTTAAATGACTCGATTGTGTGAATATCTTATCACATAGATCACATTTATGGGGGCTAGTCCCACTGTGAATAAGCATGTGGTTTTTCAAGCTGCATTGATATTGGAATGCCTTATTACATACTTCACATTTATGAAGACCTTCTGCAGTATTAGCAGGAATATTTTGTTTTGCATTATCAGATTCATTGAAGTTTGAAGTTTGTTCCTCGGCTTGAGCACAAACGTGTTGATCTAAATGATTTTCATAGTGAATCCTATATTGCATATTGTGCATACAAAGGTTTCTCATCAGTATGAACTGTTACATGTATTTCTAAAGCACTTGCATCTGGAAAAGTCATTGAACAATATGTACATTCTATTTTATAAACTACAACAGCAATACCCCGCTTAACGCTGTTTAGTTTAGCGCTCTTTTATTAACTTCTCGAGGCAAGTTATAGTAATCGCAAAAAAATCGAAAATGAAAATTTTTATATATCTTTACATTTCAAAGGTTTCTGAACAAATAGAACTTTCGATGGAGTTTGTAAAAATGAGTCTGTCTACCTACTGAAATGGTGGATCAAAATTCATTGAAAATGATCCCAATTTTGACAGGAACACAAAGTAGAAGGCTTGGTGTTAGAGATGCTCTATCCCGTTTATAAAGAACTTTTAAGAAAAAGGCAAAAACATTAGATGCTTTTGTCACAAAAAGGCAGAATACTGAAAACGCGGAAGGCTAACTAAATATAACTGACTTAAATTTATTTATTTGTTTATTTATGAATATTTATTTTATTATTGAAGTAAAACTTCTTTAGGCGCGACTAGGGTGTAAATCCGTACAAATGCAACGGAAGTCCGTTACGGTGGAGCTATACGTCATTCGCTCGATTCGAGGTCGATTGTGATTAGTCGTCGTGTATGTGAATAGAGATCTGTCGTTGTACTCTCATACAAGGGTATCGTCATAGATAAACAAGCATAATCTCAACAAGGGGATCGGCATAGATAAATTTTAAAGTTACATCGTAGTACAAATCTTGATTTAATGAAAAATGCCTGAATCAGAAGAATATTTTACCCTGTTCCTTGAAAATAATAAACAAATTTAACATTTGTGCCGTGAACTAACATAATTTATTGATTAGAAATATTTCTATATTATTTGTAGTTACTATAAATCTTTGAAGTTATTAAAATGGAAAATTTTTTTAGGCAAGACAGATATTACAGCTGTTCAAAGAATGAGATTATATCGCCAGCGAAAAAGTAAAAAAAATACAAGCAGTCAATGAATGTATGTTGATTTTAATTACATGAAGTTCTTCATACACAATTACATGATGAGTTAAGTTGCAAAAACAATATTTGTTTAGGCATTGTTTAACATAATCCACTGTGTGAACAAATATTGAAAAATTTATTAAACAGCAATTACTTTATTTCTCTAACGAAGGTTCATTTCTAAGTGCTAATTACAATGACAAACCGATCGTACCATATTTGAAGTATGACTTTAATTACATTATTGTTTTCAAATATTTTCACATATCTTTAATACTATTATGTATATATAATTTACAATTCATCATTATATAAATGTGTATAATGGTTGGCACTAATAAATGTGTGCATCACGAGTGTTACCATATTACTAATAAACATTATTCAAAATTGTTATATTACGTATTTATTTTTACTTAACTTAAATTTGCTACTTTGTACAGTAGTAAATAAGTTTTACTTCAATCTCGTGTAAAACTTACGTGCACACTTTTTTTTATATTTACTTTTATCCTTGCAAGAAATAAAAATGTGATATTATTTTGGGCTTTAAGAAATAAATGCTTGGATTCATTTTTATCAAAGAAACATACTTTTTAAATTTAGTTTAAATCAATTTCCTAGACATGTTCCCCTAAAGATGGCCTGGTTTAGTGCTGCTTTGCATTAGGCTCTAGTTTGGTGAAACGTATCACCCAT